TGGTTTTCTCGCCACCATGATAGTTGTGATGTTGGTAATGTTTGGAAACTGATTTGGTCAACTTTGTGACAATGGTGAACAGTTTTTTCTCTGCCTCCCTCTCTTTTGTTTTTTAATCCATTGGTTAAAACAAATGGATCATGAGGAAGGGGGATTTGAAGCAAATGATGTGCTATCCTTGAATTACTTTCTATGGGAGGGGAAATTCCAATGCTACTCTATGCATACGTAATTCCAGGCAACTATATATACTTGCTAATATATTCACAAAGCCCCCACAGGCCTCACAGAAATCTTGAGATTACGCCAGTGAATGCCTCAACAAAAGCCATTCCAGTTGAGGCAAAACGTTCTTAGGGTGCCGTATGATACCTCACTGCACTCTGCCACAACAAACCCATACACCTATCCATGACCCTCTCCCTTGACCGGTACTCAGGACAGAATTGCGCTGGCAAACCACCCAAACACAATAGTTCTCGCGGAAGCATAAGTTTCCTACCAGGAAAACAGTATAGGATGCGGGCCGGGCCGGGCAAGCAAACCAGCGGGCAGACATTAGGATCGTTGATGCAAACCGGATACCATCATCCAACGACACCCGATGCAGTGAGAATAACCTCACTTGTAGCCAAATTAACAGTGTCACGCCCGGTCGGGGGAACACACATGTGAATATAGAAGTTTGGATCACGAGACGGATAGCGGCGGGATCAAGAAGGGGTTTGGTTGTTGGAGCGGTAGAGCATGGGGTATGTGACTTATGGAGGGGGCGGGTGGGGGGTAAGGCAGCGGAAAGGGGGGAGAGGTGGGTCTGCTTATGAATCTATTACAGGGTTGTGAGTGATGTCTGGTGGTTCTGGAGATTGTCTATATCATGCTATACGTATAGCACTGGTAGAGTATCATACGGCGGAGGTTTGACTTGGGGGGTTCCGTTGTTTTCTTCTCTTCTCTTTTCTCCTTTCTCTTTCCCCCCCCCCTTTTTTCGTTTAGATTGGTGTGCCCCGCTTTGAAATCTTGACCTGTATTGTGATGCGATCCACCGGTCGACTGAGATCGCGATATGACATGGTGCACTCGTGCCTCCTCGCCAAGAGTTGGCACTGGTTTCGGAATAGCTGCCACCGACCAATAAGCGGTATAGCCTTCAATTCACCCCCCCGCCGCCGCCTAGTATCCCAATAATCAGTAGACTGTAAATACAGTAACCAAAGTAGCAATCATTTATACAAACAGGATCATGCATTAAATCTACTATCTCCTCCACATGCTTAAACTTGTAGCAAATTGTGTGAAGATTCATACAGAAACGATCCATCAGTTCCTGGGGCATACGCTCCTACTCAATTACCAAGTAGTCACACCATACTACATTTTGGTTTATGCTCACTATGCCGAAACAAGTGCCAACTCTTAGCGAGGAGGCACGAGTACCATACTGTGCTTGGGCACGACACATCTGGCTCCACAATGTTCGGAGCTTGCAAGATAGCACCTCTGTATGATACCCCATCAACTCCAGCTGTAGATATTATATCATGGTGGGGCGGGGAGGATACCTTTTTCCAATGACGGCTGTTTTTTTCCTATCTATTTTTGTTCTGCCGCTATCCTTCCACATCCGGTCAATATCTTCCGCCGCTTTCCTGTGGAACTGCGAAGACATGGGGAACGTTAAGAGAACTCTGTGAACAGGAGTGTAAGGTACAGCGGGTTTTACTCTAATAAATGTGGTTGATTTTCCTTACATTTGGGATCTCAGAGGGGGGTTGAGGGAATATATCTCCGCCTCAGGTAGGGAGGAAAAAAAAAGAAAAAAAAACCCACCAAGATATAAGCGACTAGGAATTCCAACTATCATACCAGAACTGGGGGACGCCAATATCCGCCATCGTACCTCTAGTCTGAGCCCCAAAGGAAAGGAAGGTCTGGGGATGCCCGGGAGATGTGCAGTCCACCGTGCGGAAGGAGGCTAGGCGAGGGGGAGCAGGGGGTCGGCCACCTTCAAGGCATGTAAAATAGGTCCCCGTCTCTCCACAATCTCAAGACGTACTGACGTCCACAGGTTTGTAGGCCTGTAGTGGCCCGGCTGTCTCGGGATGCTGGCGTTGGGTGGCCGACGGCAGCGGTGTCCTGCCCGCATTGTCGGAAGTGTCGGGATTGATATTTTCACTGCCGAGAAGCAAGCGGACCACTTCCAAATGCCCCTCGTTCCCACCGAACATGAGCGCCGTTTGGCCCTCCCTGTCTGATCCCCCGAGGCCGACATCTTTCTCACCGAGCAGTTTCCCCACCCCCCCTACATGTTCATTGTGTAATGCCCAAATTAATGGAGTCCACGACAAGGTGTCAGAAATATCAGGCCTGACGTGCTCCCTCTCTAGCAGCAGCTTCACAGCCCCCTCTTGCCCCATGCGCGTAGCGAACAGGAGTGGCGTGTCGCTGCAGATGCCACTCCCGTTGAGATCGACGCCCTCCCGCTCCAACAGTATCCGCACCACCCCCTCCTGTCCCATCAGGGAGGCCAGAATGATCGATGTCCGGCCATGCATGTCGTACCCTGCGGTGTTGACGCCTTTCCCTTCCAGCAGTATCCTTACCACCCCCTCGTGCCCATTGTGCGCAGCCCGGGCGAGCGAGGTCCCTCCACATGCATCCCGACTTCCGCGGTTGACACCTTCCGCTTTGGGAAGCCGCTCCACCACCCGCTTATGTCTGCTGGAGGCAGCCCACCCCAGCGGCGTCCACTGGGCCTGATCCAGAGTGTCAGTGGCAACAGCCTTCCTCTCGAGCAGCATCGTCAAGACTTCCTCGTGCGCCCTCATATATCCCCCCTCAGGTAGTGGTGTTCGGTGCGCCCAGTATTTGACGGAGCGGGAAGCGCTGATAGTAGGGGGAGTTCCATTGTTCGCGGGGGTTTTCCGCATCCTGCGCCACCAGTAAGCCTTAGGATCTATCGTAAATTTTATGATATCAGTCACCCAAACACAGCTTTTGTTGCACTTGGCCAGACGCGGGGTTGGGTGAGGCAACTGAACCATAAGTAGACTAGTGCACGTTCCGGGGGTACCTTCTCCTGCCGCCGCCGCACAAAAGCCTGGACCCCACCTCTCCAACCACCAATAAAAAACCTAATATCATATCCGTTCTCACGGCGGCACAAATCAGAGCCCTAGATCGGAGTAGTTCCCATGCAGAGCTCTCCTCCTGGCACAACACTCAAGAGATCTGATCAGGCGACATCGTCTAGGTACGGCATAAGAATGGCGAACCATTTTCCTGGGTGCTGCTGAAATATTCGGTGGCACGGCATTTGTTGGAAATCACAGCATGCTGCGAGGTATGCTCAGCCGAGTCCCCACCCCTCCTCCACTCCTTTCCTTACTTTCCTTCCTTCCTTCCTTTTCTTCCGTAGTCCCTTTGTTTGTTCGCTCGGGCGTGCGGGGCCGAATTTTTGGCTTCCGGGCGCGGAAGGGTGGAATTGGAATGGTACGGTGCGCTGGAAGGAAGCTCCGGGCCGTATGCAGAGCCGTGACGGACGGCAGGAGTGCGCCGTGGGAGGGGTGCCGGAAAAGCAGTGAGAGGCTGCACGGCAGGGCCAAGGGCGATGAGGGAAACGGGATTCTGGATGGGCGCTAAGTTTGTTAGTTTGTTGTTTGTGCTCAAGTGAGGACTTACCTGGTGGGGGAGAGCGAGACTTTGATTGCTTTTGGGTCAAAATTCACTCCTATTCTTCCCGTTAGGTTTTGTGTTTAGTTAGTCGCGCACGACAGAGGGTGTTAGAGAGAGAGAGAGAAAGAAAAGAAGTTTTTTCCTATCCCCTCCTCGGGCGATTGTGGGAGGGCTTGGCTTTTTGTTTAACCGAGTGACCGGTTGTGATAGCGGGCGCCACCAAAAAGCATTGACACCACAATCCTGTTCCGGGATCACTTAACAAAGCTACCATTAGGGATGTGGTTGAAGGTTTACTCGCAGATCATCGGTAGTATTAACCTTGTATGGCCGAAGATGGAACCGGCGAGGAGGGAGAAGTTGTATTATATGTGGTATGTTCAAGTGTGTGCAGAAGCGGGGGTTGGTGAATGGAGGAGAATAAATCAGCGGTGTTTAGGAAGCCAATGGAGGATTTTTGTCCAGTCAGGGGTATCGTATCGGACTGGGTGCGGAAGAGTAACGCTGGGAAGAAGAGTTTAGTGGAGAAGGATTGTCCGAGTGCGGGGCATAAAAGACAGCCAATTTTCCAAATACAAAGAAGGTGTACATTAAACTCAAACTATTGAAAAGAAAACAATAAGGGGAAACCAATTCAACTTCCCGCCGGAGCCCCTAATACCAGCCTGGCCCTTCTCCTTCCTTCCTGTCTCTCTAGTCGTATTTTCCACCGTCGGAGGCATTGGGGTGAGTGAATTGCTGCCCTTGTCGCTCGAGATCGTTGGCACCGGTATATCCCAGCCAACAATGGGGGCGCATTGAGTTGAGAGTGGGCGGTGGGTGGGGAACAAAAAACGCGAGATGTAGGGAGGTTTGAGGATCTGGTGTTTAGGTAAGTTCTCGTGTTTTCGGATGGGAACTCGCGTTTGATGGAGTTGGGAGCTGATGGGCATCGCTGGTAGCTCTCGGACCCACCAGGGTGGAGCTATGGCCCTGAGCTTCGTGTGTGGTCGGTTAACCTCTTTCCGTCGACCTCCGAGACACTCCCTGTGAGTTCTGGTGATCATCTGCACCCTTTGCCCAATTGGCACTGGGTTGTTCCAACCCGCCATAAAGGACGGGGGGCGAAGGCCAAGAAATGATGATCATGGGCTTTCCAAACAACTTTTCAGCTTTGTTCCCAGCCCGGTAGCTGGTAATTTATGATGCTTAATACTAGATCAGAAACGTAGCCCTCCATTTGGTCAAACAATAACTACCACAACCCCGGTTACACTATAAACACCAAGCTAGACCGATGTTCACAATCGTGTACAATTGCACCACTCATCATCCATATCATATCACAGTCCCTCCCCCCTAGCAAACAGTCCCGCTCCCATCTGTCGCAGCACAAACCTCTGTATCTTCCTACTGGCAGTCTCCGGACAGGCGTCCTCCCAGAACACATATTGTGGGACTATCACTACGTTAGCCTTTCGCCCTAATATGTCTCAGATGCTACCTGGGAGCATGTTATAGCATACCAGACTGATGCGACAGCTTCTCCCGAACCCACTTCCGAACCTCATTCACTGCCAAAGCCCACTCCTTCCGAACCAACCATACAACAACCCATGCGTATCTTTTTCCCGGGCCCCCGAGCCCTACTCATGAAGACTCGACAATCATTAGATGGGCAAATAGCTAATTTTCAATCTTAACAGGGCGCTTCAAGGGTTAGACCATACCAACACCAGTCGAAGGTTCCAGAGGACCTACAATGTTTTCCCCACCCTACATGATCAGATCTCGTAATATCCCGGTAATCTTCATTTAGCCGCTCACGCCCAATTCTGCTTCGTCTCCAGTCCACCCAGTGCAATCCAATTTCTTAGCTCTATAGCGGAATGGAGTAAGCAGTAGAGGTGCCGCGGTAAATCATTTACATGCCTCCCCAACTTCCTGTTCTCATTTTTCGTCCTGACTCGCGCTGTACGGATTGGGTCGTTCCAGTAGCCCTTTTGCAGGAGGTATCCGGATACCGCTTGTTCACTGCGTTCACCTGCGGACAGGATCTTGGTGCGGTCGGTGGCAGAGCTTACTTTGGCTCTATTTACAAGTGTTAGCCTAAAGAGGAAGAGAGGAGAGGAGCGGACGTGCTTGACGTGTGGCATTAACCTACCAACACTATTGGCTCGTTTCCCAAGGGGGTCATCGGTGGTAGTCACTAGGAAAACCGGTGAAGTTTCAGTCATTCTATAAACCATAGCCATTATATAGCTATTATACAGCCAACCATAAGATCATGTCTGTCATTTGCCCACAACAGATAGCTACACTCACACCCTAGCCGGGGGCTTCATTTGTCTCCCCCCCCCTCCACATCTGCGGCACTTGGGGGTCGCATACTCAGCTCTGTCAGGCTCAATTCTCTATGCAACCTCTTCATCAATTCCTTCGGAATACTACTTCTGGCCGCAATCCCTGTGCTTCCATGCTTGAAATACTTCTGCCCAACCTCTGTACTAGCTAGCCGTTCTAGCTCTACTATGAACAATACCGGCATAACGTACAGTTCAGTGCACTTTTACTGCTGCGTGGTGTGAAGGGTCGCCTTGTGGTTGAAACCACATTAGTGATATTTATGGGTTATTACTTCTAAAGCTATTTGCTCGGCCATCAAATGCAGGTGCATGCGGGCTGAGTTGCTTTCAGAAGCATGTGAGAATTCCGAGTATATTGCACACCTTCCACCACTATCCTGCAGCAGATACGAGGGCAACGACGGAGACATGGGTACCCGTCCTATATCAGAATCGTCTCATCCTTGCATCAATCCAAAGCAGCCATTGAAAGTAACACCAAGCACAACACCACTCCTCCAACTCCCACTGCTTTTCACGGTCACAACATCAGTCAAAATCTCTTTATTATGTCCAGTGTTCCCAACCGTCCAGTGGGCCGGCGGGGCCCCATGGTGGGACTTCCAAGAGCCCTGGACAGGACGGGGGAGGACGGCCATCTTTAGGTAGAACAGCGGGCCCTACGGGGTGAAACAGTGTGTACAAAGAACAGCGGGGGACTGCTGGCGACTGCCGGGAACAACATATTACCCACAAACACCCTCAGACGCGGCCGAAACCCCATGGCCGGCACGGTCATTTTGTCCATCGGATTTCAGGTAGTAGTACGGCGGTCCCCCGTAGCCTGCCTTAGCACTTCCAAAAGGACGGACAACCGGCGGTAGTCGGTCCCGTCCTACCACAAAGACAGACGGACTGGACGGTTGGGAACACTGATTATGTCTGCTCACAGCGGAAGAACGGGCATCCCAACATTGAAGGTATTCGGACCACTTAAACCGACCCAATTTGCTTCCATGGAAGTCGTGAAGGAGGTTTGGGCTATGGTGGGAGAGCAGTACAGGGACAAATTCGTTGTGGTTGGAGGGCGCCGGACTCCTTCTTCATGGCTCCCCAATTTTCACCAGTAATGTCGATCCCGCTCTCACCCCCCAATCGCTACACTAGTTTGAAACAGTTGCGAAGCAGGAACCCCGCTTTCCACAAAGCATATTCAGGGAACGGAGATTGCAATCACGGCATGGATTTTGTGTCGATATCGACTTTTTGGACAAGGCAGGAGAAACCAGATGCCTACAGCAGGGTAGCGAGTATTCTCTCATTGATGGGATACCAGTGGCGACCTTGCTGGACCTGGAAATTGGAAAAGGCGGGGCTTGGATCGACCGTGGGAATGGACAATCTCCGTGGCTTCAAGTCTGTGGTCGTGACAATGACAGAAAAAGGTTTGGATTTTAAGTGGTTAAGTCAAGTGAAGCCCAAAACCAGATGCGACATGATGATTGAACTTGGGGGGAAGAGAGACAAATGGGGATTTCTCAGGGGCGGTTAAAACCCTGTTGTAGTGGGTTGAAAATATCCATTTAAAACGAATTGAAGTTGTATATTCACACTTCTGCGCGTTGGAAGCTTTTGTCTTTTCTAACCCTTGGTCGTAACTCGATTTTGATGCTTTCTCCAATTGCTGCTCCGTTCTTTTTCTCTCCCTTGCTTCTTCTCCCACTACCTCTCAGGCAGCGGGCTTTATATACATCCACATCATAGTGTCTCCCATCCAGACCGGTCTCCTTGGTCATCTATATGACTCCGCCTTTTACCCCTCTTTTGTCTTCTTTCTGGTTCTACAGCTATCGCTCTACCCCGCTTTGTCAACCAATGACTTTCCTTCTTGCCCCCTCGTGTATTTCCTTTCCATGCCTTGCCCCGCAATAACAATCTATAATACACATCTGTAATAATCCCTAGAACCTTCCATCCTGCTTATCAATTTCCTCCTAAGTATTACAAATATCAGACACTCCCGGAGAAGTCTCCAGTCCTCCGAGTGGTCATGGATAGGTAAGGGGTTAGTTGGAGTGCCGGTGATTTACAACACCATTGTGGCAGGATTGTTGAATGAGGGGCAGTAATTGATGTCCATTCGACCCTTAGGTTATTATTGGAATACACCCTTTTTTTTTATTCAGTGAGGCTGAAGAGGATTGCTTCGGAAGCATAGATAGGTGTTAATCATTGCTATCAATATACTGCAACCACATATCGTCTACCGCTAACCACATAATATAGTCTCACACTGCTTTCATGATAAATGGAACCTTCGGCCCCCATGTCCCATGCAAAGTTTTAGGCCCTCGCGGTCACGGCTCGTCACTCGGCGAAACGAAACGCCAAGTGTTGAAACAGGGCTTCTGACACTACCAGTAACGGATGTTGTAGCATCATTAGGCTATCACTTTTCTCCTTGCATCAATTCGTACCCCAGGCACACATCTAGGCCTCTAGTACTATTGAAGATATCTCCTTGCATTTCTTGTTACTGTTCGCTCAACCTTATTGTCTCACTCACAATAGTAGATAGTAAGAGCTGCTCGCTCTTCCTTTCTAGACAATTAAGCATTCATCGTTCTCTATCACACAATCTTCTTTGCCATGCAAAAACACTCCTCACAGTACTTTTACAATAGGTTATGAGCCTTTTGTAGCCTTCCGTCTGCTAAAACCACCAAGTTCAAGGCTAGTTTTCTTCCTCTTATTATCAGGATAGTCCTGCGTATCCTACATTACCTCCTTTTCAACCAGTCCTCCTTTTCTGGATTCTTCTTTCCCATGTCTCTCTCGAAGTTGTCCTTGGCGGCTGTGGATGATTTAGTCTACCGTTGCAAGTACGGTGAGGTGACCAGGTTGGGTCAATTAACCCTCCCACGCTGGTCTCAAGTCCTTCAGTATCTTTTGCAAGGAGCTGGATCCCTTGAAATAGTACTTGGCCACGAGGCTGCTCCACGGGCAAATCAGCATGCTCGTCTCCTCGATTTCAATCGGCGTGAAAGCCTTGCCATTACGTTTATTTACAACTCATGTGGCCCTGAGGCGACAGCCTTTCTCCGTCGTATTCCTCGCTCCCTGGCTACAATGTGCACTGCTCTCGCAGCTGAGTTTGATACTGCCTCCTCTTGGGCAGGGAGAGAAGATATTATACGCGAGTTGAATCGTATCAAGTGCAGCGACTACTCATCAGTTAGTCCTTATATTATAGCCTTAATGGATTTTAAGGACATACTTTCCTCAACCGATCAAGCCATTACCGATCCAACTTTTATCTCCCGCATGACGTGCTCCCTGCAGGATGCTTATGACACCACTATTCAGGCTATTGCATCAGCAAGCAAATCTTTCGTTTGCTAAATACGTAACCTGCATTCAACAATATGCGGCCATCCTTCGGATTAAGGCCCCAAGTGCCTCAAGTTCGAACACTGCGGCTACCTCTGGTTCAGCATTATTCTCACGAGTTGGTTTCTTTTAGAGGAATCGTAGTAGTTGTGGTCGTGGTTCTGGTTATTGTCGTGGTCCCAGTTATGGTCGTGGTAGTCATCGCAGTTTCCAATCCAGATTGGGGAACTTAGGTAATAGTCATAGTGTGGGTCATTCTTCATCTGCTGTTTGCGGGTATTGTGGTCACAGTGGGCATATCCGACGTAACTGTAATTCTTGTCAGAAGGGCAGACAAGCGATAGAAGACCATCAGAAGAACAACAGAAATGATAGTACTGATAAGAATTCTGGGCATTGACAAGCTTTGGCTATGCCAGCCAGTACTGATCCTGTCTTTCTCTCCGTTCAAGCTCTGGTAACCACAATTAGCGTTCGATTATCGAATCGGTCGACAGCTTCCGATACCTCACATACCGAAATCTCAGACTGGTTGATTAACTCTGGCGCCACCCATCATCTTTGCCGGCATCGTGATGCTTTGTTTTTCTATGAGCCCTTCAAGCTAGATGCCTTTATTCCAATCCATATGGGCAACAACCCGTCTGTGGAAGCTATCGGTAAGGGAACTGTATGGATCCTTTTTAAAGATAACCAATGTTCCGAAGTACTTGCTTTGCACATTCAGGCTCTTTATGCTCCTCGTCTTCAGTCATCTCTTCTCTCAGTTGGACAGCTATCCATTCTTCGTCGTATTACCTTTACTACCGATACCCGTTTGATTTCAGGTCTCAACACTGGTACCTCAATCCCTCTTGGCCCGTTCCGAAATTTGGTCTGGGAACTTGCAGGTCCAGGGCGATCAGTAGTTACCGGTGCTATGAGATCCCCCAATCTCTTTCCTCTCCCACAGCATACCGAAGCCTTTCTAGTAAATACTGCTAGGAGTTCCAATTCAAATGATCAACCTGGGGATCTGCAATCGCATGCTCTAACCCCTGAGCTACCAGAGCATAGTAGTTCCGATTTCAGCAGTTCGAAAGTCCCCATCATCCTCTGGCATCAGCGATTGGCTCATCTCAACTATCGAGCTATATCCTCTATTACTGGTCTTCCTATCAGTAATGTTCCAACCTGTTATACATGTATTGAAGCAAAACATCAGCATATGGTTGTCCGAAATCCTGTTCCAAGGGTATCAAGGCCTTTGAGCTTATTCATTCCGATCTCTGTGGCCCTATTGGGATTCCATCGTGGTCTGGATCCCGTTACCATATCCTTTATATCGAGGACTATATGTATTGGGCATACGGCTATCTCTTCCGTTCCCATGAGTCGGTTGAAGTTACTCAAGTTTTTCAGCAGTTGCAGGCAAGAGTTGAGACTACGTTTCCGAACTGGCCAATTTCGCATCTTCGATGTGACAATGGTGGAGG